CAGCTAGAAGCCATTTTATTTCTACCCTAATAGCCTCTTTTTGTCTGGCACGAATCGGCGGAGTTTCTGCTTGATCGGTTTGGTGGTTGGCAAGACATTCAAGGAGTGCTCGATCTTCTCCCATGGTACCCCTAGAATGTCTGCAGGTTTCCAAGCAAACATGTCGTCGTTGGCACGTAGGAAGGAGATGAGCGTGCTTTCCTATTTGGGGTCAAGATGCACCCCAATCTTCATGGTCTTCGAGGGGTCATCGAGGCCGAGGCCGACCTCCTTGGTTTCCTTAGACTTAGCGGAGGCGCGAGGAGGCTCCAGCGATGGGATCTCCAGGTCGTCGATGGGCATCGTCTTGGTGTCAATGACCACACTGGCCATCTAGATGGAGAGGTCGGTGGCTTCGGCGAGGGCGAGACTCTCTATCTCGTAGGCGTAGGCGATGGAGAGGTTGGCTCGCAAGGCCAGGACTCCTGTAGGTAAAGGCATCTTCAGCACCAGATAAGCGTAGTGCGGTATAGCCATGAACTTGGACAGAGCTGGCCGACCAAGTATGGAGTGGTAGGCGGTGTTGAAGTCGGCGACGTAGAAGTTGATGTGTTAGATGCGGTAGTTGCTTGCCGTGCCAAACTGTACTAGTAGGGTGATCTCTCCAAGTAGTTTCGATGCCCTACCAGGTACCACACCCCAGAAGGAGGAGTCTGAGGGTGTGAGATCTGTTATACCGAGGCCCAACTCCTTTAGGGCTCCGGCGAAGAGGAGATTCAGAGCGCTCCCACCGTCGACCAGCACTTTTCTGAAAAAGCACTTTCTGGATGGTTGCGTCGAGGACGAGGGGAAAACGCCTTGTGTACAGGATGTCCACCCACTAGTCGGCCTTGCTGAAGGTGATGGGGACCTCGGACCATGGGCGATATCTAGGGTTGGCGGTGGCATCTTCTGTAGTGACAACGAGCACCCGCTGGGCGGTGAGCTTCCGTTTTCTTCTGCTCTTGGTGGAGGCAAGGCCCCTGAAGATGGTGGCGACCACCTTGTCGTGGTCCTAGAAGGCATTGTTATTGCCCCCAGGTGGTCGGCGGCCTCTGGCTCCGTCGTTGGTGTTGTCGTCCAGCTTTTTATCCTGGAACTCCTTAGCCAAGCCGAGGCAGACCTTCATCTTATGTCTGGCGTTCTTGTGGAGAGGGCATGGGCCGTCGAGGGTCTTCTTGTATTGCTCATCGTAGTTGCGCTTGGCGCGAGGTTCATTAACGGCGGCGGCGATGTGGTCTGGTCGGCGGCGGTGATTTTGACCAGACTTAGGTCCTTCTGGCCGATCATGGCCACTATCACGGCCACTGTCATGATACACTACGGTAGTCGTAGCGGCGGTCGTTGTGGCGTCGGTCGTCGGGGCGGTCGTCGTAGCAACGTGTTTGGCGATGAGTGCTCGCATCCTCATTGAAGCGGACCTCGGCTTCCTCGGCGTCGGCGTACTGGTTAGCAGTTATGATCATCTCGCCAATCCATGTGGGTGGCTTGCGGTTGAACTTGGAGTGAAGCTCGCGGTGGAGTCCTCTGATGAAGGCGGTGATGACCTCTGCTTCCGTGATGTTGGAAATAGAATTCCTCATCTCGGAAAAGCGTCTGATGTAGCTACGGAGGAGCTCGGATGGCTTCTGGTTAATGCGGTTGAGATCATGCTTGGTGTCCGGCCGAGTACACGTAGCCATATAATTGTCAGTGAAGACTTTTTTCAGCTCTTCCTAGGATCCGATGGAGTCTGAAGCAAGGCTTGTGAACCAGTTCATGGCGATTGGCGTGAGCATGACAGGAAGATAGTTCGCCATGACACTAGTGTCTCCTCCGGTGGCGCGGACAGCAGTGGCGTAAGCCTGTAGCACTGTGTTGGGTTCATCCTTCCTTCGTAGGGCTCGACCCTAGTGATTTTAAAACCACGGGGCGACTGAAGTGTTCGGACCACCCTCGTGAATGCTGGGGGCCCTTTGGGGTTGTTGGCGCTGTCGTCTACAGCGTTGCCAGCATTGAGCGGCTCGAGAGCTGAGTTCGAGTTACTGTACTCTTGCTCGTACTCCTGGCGATGGCGTACTTCTTCTTTATGGCAACCGAAGCGGCGTTCGTCGATATATCGTCGTGCATCTCAGAGATTGTTGAGGTGCACTCGGACGTCCTGGTCAACCTACTGGTCGTGTTGGTGGTGATGTTCAATGCGGTTGCCCCTATCTCCGCCCTGGAGGGGTTGCCTGTCGTCGCGGCGCTGATCAGTGAAGCGACTTGGGCGGCGATCAGATCTTGGCGTGGCTGATCGACGAATCAAGGTTGTGGAGTATGAAGGTCTCTGATCCTTGCAGATCTCATTGACCTGACAGTGCGTCGCTTTAAGCATGGCGGCAACCTTGGCAACCTCGGGTGTCTATGGGAGCCGGGCGAGCTCGTTGGCGGCCACTACCAGATTGGCGCTTGGGGTCTTATAGACGTCGTGGCCGTCAACGCGAACAAACTCGTCGTCGAGATTGAGTTGGAGTGGCCTTCCTTGCGAGTCAAACTACTGCTCGGCCATCGCAAGGGCAACATCATTTGCTCGGTGCTGCGCACGGTTGACGTTCTGGTTCTCGCGAGCGATGCGTTCCTCCTCGGTTTCGTCGTTCTGAGGGGGGCTGTCGATGCTGACGTTGAAGATTGCGCCGCCACAGAAAGGAGGGAGGGGAAGTAGTTCGGTGGTGGTTTCGGCGACGGTCTCCGTGGAGCCCTGGGACCAGGAGTCCGAATTCTCCTCCAGGATGGTTTGGAGGGATGCTCGGGGCATCGACCGATGTGCAGCATGTTACGGCCGACGGAGGCTGGTCGGCGAGAGGATGGACAGCTCCCACCTGGTCGGTGAATTTGCCCCTTAGGGCATCTTGGTAAGCGGCGGCGATGTTGGCAAATCCGAAGGGTAAGGCTATAACCCCTACAGTTTTCCGAGCAGCCTCCGATAGATCTGGATCGGAGGGTGGTCGGCGCTGAACTAGAGTATCTAGAGCCGATTCGGCGATGGAGAGGCAATCGACGAGCTTCAGACCAACCCGATTGATGTATGCGATCAGATCGTCATTGTTGATCTGCCTCCTCTAGTAGCGAGGAAGCGGGCGACGAGTTGTCGATGAAGGCGACCTCAGAGGTGGTTCCGAGGTCGGATCTGCAGTCATAGGTATTGGGGTGATCAGTGCAGAATCGATCTGCACCGGCTCGATGAGCTCCCCGACTCCGTCAGCGTTGATGATCCATGAGATCGATCCGACCGTGAAGATCTGACCGGGCTGCGGGAGGGACGAAGAGCCTGTGAGACGTACCATCTTGTTCGATATAGAAACAGCACGCACACCTCCTACCTGGCGCGCCAACTATCGACGGAATATCATCGGCAGTCCTCCGAGGGGTATCCCACGAAGATAGATTGATCGGCAGAGAGGCGTGTAATCAAGAACAAGAAGGCAACAGATACACACGAGTTAGATAGGTTTATGCCGTCAGTATGACGTAATATCCTACTCCTGTGGTCTGTTGGATTGTATTGGCTATCGTATGATATTGCGTGAGTTTGGAGGAGGTCCCTGCCCGCCTTATATAGTCCGAGGGGCAGGGTTACAAGCCGGTTAGATTTGAGATATAATCGGAAAATAATAACAGATTACATGAATCATGGGATCACACGTATTCTAACAGATCTCGTAGTATCTTCAGGATATCTTCCTGGTGTCTTGCGGGAGGCGCCGAGTAGAGTCGTGCCCCGCAAAGCTTCATCTTGTGGGCTGGGCCGCCCCTAGGGGCGCAGCCCATGTGGTCTACCATGGGTATCCAGGGTCGTACCCCTACATAATATCAGAGTTACGTCACATAACTAATTGCACATGATTTTTTATTTATTTTCCGAGTAACTATTAGAACTAAGGACCCCTATTTTCCTTAAAAAACATCACATAATAAATTACTCCCTCCGTTCGAAAATAAATGCACATTTTGTTTAATTTTTTAAAACTTAAACAAATATACAAACAAAATGTATTAATATTTATGATGTGTAATAAATATATCATTAAATTCAACATGAAATATATTTTTTAATAATATATTTATTTAGAGATATAAATATTGATATTACTTTCTATATTTTTAGTTAATATTAAAAAGTTTGACTCTTTATAAAATGAGACGGGCGTTTATTTTGAAACAGAGGAGGGCATTACGGAAAAATACCGAAATAAAGGATCTAAATACATAATAAAAAATCCAACTAGTGTCATATCACAAGCCGTGTTGACTCGCGCATCGTGTGATGTAAATGTGCACTGACTTCAGATGTTAAGGAACGGCGTCGCCGCACAGGCACAGAAGCTCCCCTGCGGCTGCGGTCACTGTGCATGGTCGAATTTGCCCCTCCTGCTTTCCTCTCCTGCCTCCCTGCAAGGACGAGACGAGATATCATCATCCCTTTTCTCTCTCTCTCTCTCTCTCTCTCTCTCTCTCCCCATCCCTCGCCCGACCTCGCTCGCCGTCCCTGCTGTGCCCTGCCCCTGTCCGGCTGTCCCTGCCCCCCAGCCGCGATCTCTCTCCCTCCCCCCGAATCGCTGAATTTTTCTCTCTCCTGCCCCGCCCCACCTCGGATCGAGTCCAAGCCACCGCGCCCATCCCACCCCGCTGACCCAGCCCCGAAATCCCCAATCGAGCCCGACCGGGGTCCGTCGATTCCGCCGGATTCGAGCTCCCGCCGGTGAGGCGGTTCGCCTGAATCGGCCTATTGGACTCGAATTCGGGTGTTCCGGATGCGCGCGGAGCGGAGGCTTGCGGATCTAGGGTTTCGGAGGGCCTAGGGTTGCTGCCGGCGATCTGGTGATGGTGGTGCAGCGCGGTGCCGGAGCTCGGCGAGGAGGAGGGTTCGGCGGCGACGTTGGAGAAGATGCAGCGAGCCAGATATGCATGGGTGGCGCGGCGCTGAGGGGTGCGACGTCAGGAGGCGGCGTCTCGTTCGGCTCATGTGGCCAGCGGCACGCGTAGAGGCAGAAGCTCCACCACCACCGGCACAAGGACCAGCTACTTCTCCTTCTAGTTCATCTGTTCCCCCTTCTCGGACGACTTCTTATCCGCCGGAATCGGCGGCGCAGAAGCAGGAGTGCATCGATCTCCCCCGCCCAGTGTCACTCGATTGCTTTGTAAAGGTGCGTTTTTGTTGGGTATCATTTGCTTGCTAAACTTGATGGGTTTAGATAGACTGAGGTTGCTAAACCTTTTTTCGCTGTTTGGACTTGGACAATACCTGCTATATGAAGCATCTGCACTAGATAACTAGATTCCACAGGTGGTGGATGCCTCGAGGTTTTGGGTTGTGTAAACTGTTAGAGTTCGGATGTACTACTACCGACTGCAAGCATTCTAATATGGGAATATTGGCATGGAATTCCTTTTGCATCATTGTATCGAATTCTGTGAACAGCTCACTGTCAAATTGGCAATTTTGTCACACCATATGAAAGGATCTCCTACTATTTAATTTTTTCACAAATGACGTGGGAAAGTGCCTCCCCGTGAATAAGTGTGCAAGGTTTGACAAATTACTTAGTTTCGTATTGCAGCCGTATTCTTACTTTCCGCAAATGATGCAAGGCAGACCTTGCTTTTGGCGGTGTTCATTTCAATAACACAGTTTACCATCGTTTGTCCTTTGCTTGTTTGATTGCTAACATAATGAGCACCATGAGGTTGTAATTGTGAACTTGTATATACCAAACTAACAAGAGAATGGAGCAACATGCTGGTCATTGGATGACTTGTAACAAGCTGTTTAATTTTCAGGACGGGCGTGAGATTAGAGTTGGCGATTGTGCTCTTTTTCGGGCTGTTGATGTTCCTCCATTCATTGGATTGATACGTTGGATTGAGAAAAAGGAAGAAGGCTATCCCAAGTTACGTGTTAGTTGGCTTTATAGACCTACCGACGTGAAGCTGAACAAGGGTATACAACTCAACGCTGCACCAAACGAGATCTTCTACTCTTTCCACCAGGACGAAGCATCTGCTGTTTCTCTGCTGCATCCTTGCAAAGTTGCCTTTTTACGTAAAGGTGTTGAACTACCAGCTGGAATTTCTTCATTTGTATGTTGGCGCGTGTACGATATTGACAGCAAGTGCTTATGGTGGCTTACTGACCAGGACTATATTAATGTAAGTTCATCATTTCTTTCTTGTTTTGTCCGTTAATTATATATCTATATATACTTATTCACATATGAAATTGATAACCAGGAACGGCAGGAAGAAGTAAATCGTCTTCTATACAGAACAAGGCTAGAAATGCGTGCCGCATTTCCATCAGGTGGACGCTCACCAAAGCGTTTAAATGGTCCATCAGCTTCCCAGCAACTGAAGACTGCTTCAGATGGTACGCAGAATGGTGGTTTATCGAAAGGAAAGAAGAGAGATAGAAGTGAACAGGGAGTTGATCCAGCTAAGCGGGATCGTGATCGTCTACTTAAGGTTGACGACAGTGAGCCTGGAAGCTTTAACTTGGATGATATTAAGTCTGAAATAGAAAAGATAACAGAAAGAGGTGGACTTCCAAATGCAGAAGCAGTTGAAAAGCTTGTACATCTTATGCAACTTGATCGAACTGAGCAGAAGATAGACCTTGGTGGTCGCGTTATACTTGCTGATGTTATTGCTGCTACGGAGAGTCCCGATTGCCTCGGCAGATTTGTGCAATCAAGGGGCCTTCCCGTGTTGGACAGCTGGCTTCAAGAGGCCCACAAAGGGAAGTCTGGTGATGGGAGTAGTCCTAAAGAAGCAGATAAGCCTATTGACGAACTTCTCTTGGCCCTGCTTCGTGCACTAGCTAAATTGCCTATTAATCTCAGTGCGTTGCAAAGTTGTAGCATTGGGAAATCTGTTAATCATCTGCGTAGCCATAAAAATCTGGAGATTCAGAAGAAAGCTAAGTGTCTTGTTGAAAACTGGAAGAAGCGTGTTGATGCTGAGATGAAATCAAATGATGTGAAACCTTTAGTTTCAGGTCAATCTGTTTCCTGGTCAGGAAAAACAGGTTTCCAAGAAATTACAAATGCTGGAACCAAACGAGGTGGCTCAAGTGAGAACAGTCCAAAAAATTCAGTGCCCACTCTTTCATCATCAAAAGTTCCGACTGATAAGCCTGAGGGCACAGATGCTGCAGCGAAGTTGAACCCTGGGGTATCCGCCTCGTCAAATTTACAACACGTGCAACCAACAAATGTTACTACCAACTTGAAGGACCAGCCCTGCAAATCAACTAGTGGGGCTGGTTGTCCTGAGCTGCCTACTGTAAAAGAGGAGAAAAGCAGCAGTTCAAGCCAATCGCCGAACAACAGCCAGTCAATATCTAGTGAGCCATCGAAGGATGCAAGAAGTTCAACTGCTGCTTCTGGTGGTGCTAGTAAAACTTCTGGAAGTTCTTCACGGAGCCATCGAAGGTCAAACAATGGTATTGTTTCAGGGAACCTGAAGGAAGCTTCTGTAGGAAGATCTGTCTCCCTTGATCGATCATTGTTGCAGGATAAGTCATCTCAAACTGGAACAGCTTCTGAAAAAGGAGTTGATATGCCATCTGATCATGGAAATAATCATAGATTGATTGTTCGCTTTCCAAATCCTGGTCGTAGTCCTGCTAGAAGTGCAAGTGCTGGATCTTTCGATGACCCATCTGTTACTGGGGGTAGAGCTTCATCTCCTGTGGTTGCAGATAGGCATGATCAGACTGAGCGCAGGGTGAAAGTGAAGACTGAAAATTCTCGGCCTCATTTAGCATCTGATGCTAATGCAGAGTCTTGGCACAGCAACGACATTAAAGGAGCTACTGGTTCGGAGGAAGGTGATAAATCACCGTGTGCTATATTAGATGATGACAACAGCAGGACACCTGATGATTCTGTTAAGGATGCACATGCATCACGAGTTGCATGCTCATCATATGTGAATGAAAAAGGTGTCAGTGAAACTAAGGTGGGAACCTCATTCAGCCCAATGAATGCTCTTATTGAAATCAAGTACTCTGAAGCTAGTCATTCATTGCAAGCTGGAGACGACGCGGCTATGAATCTTCTTGCTAGTGTGGCAGGGGAAATATCTAAATCTGAATTGGTTTCCCCAGCTTCTTCACCCAGAAGTTCTTCTGTAAAGAAATTGGTCCGTGAGAGTGACAACACTGGAAAGGTTAAAGTAGAAAGTGACATGGGCCCATCACATCCAGGGCAAGCAGGTGCTAAGAAAGTTGCCATGGGAAAGGAAGTGAAAAATGATGCTTGTCTGGTTGCAAAGGAGGAACAACGCCAAACTACGCCATCTCCTGAGCTAGCAGATTCAAAAGCAGTTGTATCTTCAGCCAAGATTGAAATCCATGAAGGCCGTGTAAACAAATGCAACTCTCAGCATGCTTCAATTGATTCCAAAGGTGAACATGATCAGAACTTCAATTTGTGCCATTCAGCTAATACTAAAGTTGTCAATATGTCTAATATGTATTCATCTGCAGGTGGAAATCAGGATGCCTGTACTGCCCATGGGAAAGTTGAAGATGGCAGTACAGACAAGGATGGTGCTGTGGAATCTGCATTGGGCAGCCAGTGTAGCTTGGTTGTTTCCATTAGAAATTCAAGATTGGTTCTTGCTGGGGAATCTTCATTGTCTGCTGCTGATAAACAAGCACAGGGTTTGTTAAAATCAACTAATCTTAAGCAGCTTCTGAGTGTATCGGACAACCCAGGAGCCTTTGATAGACGTGACAGTATGGCTGGCAAATTAGATTTGATGGCTGCAGAGGTGGAAAAAGCTGATGCTGTGGGCTATAGTAGCATAGTGCAGAACGAGGCTGAAAAGAAGGAACATGCTTCTTCCTCTTTGGCTGATGTTCCAAAACTAGTTGTAGCAGCAGCGTCCCCAGTTGGTGTGGCAAATGTGAATAAGGAGATGAAAGAATCAAAAGACAGTTCAAGTGAATCCAATAGCCATGTAAAATCTGAAGGTGTCAATTCTCAGCAAAGCGGGCAAAGTGCAAAGCAGAGTTCAAAAAAATCCAGTGATGGTGTTTGCGGAAAAGAGGACGGAAAAGAAGACCATGTCTTATCAGATGAAGGTTCTTCTCTAGCCGCTCACACCAAGTCAAATGCTACAGCCAAGCTTGATTTCGACTTGAATGAAGGAATACCTGGGGATGATGGGCATCAGTCTGAGCCAACCATCTCACCTGTTGTATGTTCCTCAGCAATCCATTTAACTGGGCTTGTGCCATTCACTTCACCTATTACAAGTGGGTTGCAGCCAGCTCCAATAACAGTAGCTGCTCCAGCTAAGGGGCCTTTTGTTCCTCCGGAAAACCTACTAAGAGCAAAGCCGGAGATCGGGTGGAAAGGTTCAGCAGCTACGAGTGCATTTCGCCCTGCTGAACCAAGGAAGATTTTTGAGATGCCTGCTGCCACACATGACATTCCAGTATCTCAGGCTGCTGGGAAGCAGTCTCGTCCCACGCTTGGTTTTGATTTGAATGTTGCAGATGACCAAGCTCTCGAGGAAGATATCCCACAGAGTTCTGCACAGACTACCTGTTCTGAATCTGGAAATACGAGAAGTCGAGATGGCTCTTCACGAAGCGCTGGTATTGATCTTGATCTGAACAGAGCTGATGAAGTTGCAGATAATGGCCAATTTGTACCAAATGCTTCGCACAGAGTTGAAGACCCATTGCTGTCGGCGAGATCGTTACCTGGAGTTTTCTCTAATGCTGGCACGAATAGCTCGAGGGACTTTGATCTTAATAGTGGACCAGGCCTTGATGATGTTGGCACTGAACCTGCATCAATTAGCCTACCTTCTAAAAATACAAGCAGTATTCAATTCCAACCACAAGTTCCTGTTAGGATGAATAGTGCTGCCATGAGTAATATATCACCATGGCTTCCCTCTGCCAGCCCTTGTGGTCCAGTAGCTTTACAATCTTTTTTACCATCTAGAGAACAGCCGTACCCAATTGAGGCAGCACCTGGAGCCCAGAGGATTATTGCGCCTACAGCTGATGGTGGCCAATTTGGAGGTGATCCCTGCAGGCCTCCAGTTATTTCAACGTCTCCAGCGATGGTTTTTCATCCACCTGCATATCAGTATGCAGGATTCCCTTTTCCTAGTGTTCACCTTCAAACACCGGCATTTTCAATTGGATCAGCAACATTTAGTAATTCTGCATCTGCAGGAGGTCCGTATTTTTCAACTCTCTCCCCATCTTTTGTTGGGCCAGCAGGAGCTTTACCTTCCCAACATTCAAGGCAGTATGCTATAAATCTTGCTGAGGGTAGCAGCAGCAGTGGACGTGACAGTAATCGTAAATGGGAAAGTCAAGGCCTTGATCTTAACTCAGGCCCTGGAAGTATAGATTTAGAGGGAAAGGATGAACGGGTGCCTTTACCAGTCAGACAAAATTTGATCCCACCCCCACATGGCTTTGCGGAGGATCAAGGAAGAATTTACCAAATGCCAGTTGTAGGAACAAAGAGAAAGGAACCTGATGGCAGTTGGGACTCAGAAAGGTCTACATACAAGCAATTATCATGGCAATGAGGGCTCTGAAGGAGATCATTTTGCACCGACTGGTCTGCGATGAGCATGTATGTAGTTGATTCAAACTTTTGAGGCCTGTTCGATTTCTTACTATCAGTTGCTAATCTTGTGAAATTTGTGGAATTGTGCCTTTATTTACAGAAGAGGTACCTGCATGTAGAACTTGGGCGGTGTGTTCTTCAGTCACTGGACTATACTAAGGGGATTCAGCCCCATGACGATGATGTGGGATTGAGGAAACGAAAACTTGCTGTAATTGTTGTAGATTTTTCTTAGCTGTTAGGCTTTTGGTTCTAATTTACTCAGGAGGGTATGGCTGCGGAGGAGGAATCTTTGTGATCCTGAGCTCTGGGGCTACTGTAATTAGACCGTCCGCTCTGTTTGTTGGTGATAAACTGTTGAGCACATGATGCAGCTTTACATAAGAATTTAGATGTGACCTTGTTCCTTGTTGGGGAAGCGTTACGTCAGCTGACCATATACACACTGGTGCAACGAACAGCTCGAATTGCTACGCCATGTATCTTGGGTTGCAGTGCAGCTGTATGTATAAGAATTCTAGCAGATCAGCAAGCTATAATTTTTTGCTGTTTCTTTCACACCAAATCCATCTGCATCTGGTTTACCGTTGATGCTCCTTTTTTTTAGAAAAACTATTTTTCGGAGAGGTGATGATCGGCAGATTCTAACGAGAACAAGAATAAATGAAGTGTGATTTTCGTTTGATTTATGGGTGGATGGCCTTGCTGTGGCTGTGCTGTGCTGCAGCTGCAGGAGATCTCAGCAGGCTCTGTTTGTTTCGCTGAAATTTGGTGTTTATACTGCTGCTTATACTAATTTGTTGTGGAAGGGAAAAACTGTTCGTCACTGGAAAATACTGCTGAAATAGTAAATTGCAGCAGCTACGGTAAAACAGCTGCAAAGTAGTGCAGCCGAACTGTCTCATATGGTGAACCGTTGCCTTGGCATAGACCTGAGGCTTTGGGTACGGCAAGTGTGGTGCTAGTGGTTGAAATTACAATGGAGGGTTTACTGCTAATTCAGATGCCGCAATATATGATGAATGCAATATTGTTTGGGGCGGACTCCAGGAGATTTCTATTGAGCTTTCGAGTGGGGAAGCAATCCAGGTGGCACATGAATTAGCTACGCAAGCTATGTTTACAAAAGATATTTGTATTTGGGATGATGACCCCCTAGTTTTATGGTTCATTTCTTATTAAATGATGTAACTATTCTCAATCAATAAAGGTTGCCTACGGGTTTATTAACAAAAAATATCTACTCTCGATGACACCTACAAAATATTGTCACACTAGTCCTTAAGGGTGTGTTTGGTTCACGTTCAGTCCCAGCCTAGCTAGCTTTTGGAGCCAGGCTAGACTTAGCCAGCTTTAGACAAGCCAATAATCACTTGTTTTGTTAGAGTGATTGCTTAAGGCTGACTAAGGTCCTGTTTACTTGTCTTATGAGCTGTACTATTTCAGCGAACGAATAGTGTTTTTTTCTCGCAACAAATCAGCGGACAATACTTTCAGCTATGGCTTTTCGGCAAAGCGAACATGGCCTAAGTTTTTGTGTGTTTGGTTAGTTGGTTTTGCTTGAATAGAATCACCTCCTCTTTGAGGTGGTAGGTTACTATAAGAAAAATGGACCCTTGGCCCATTTACTTTGGATTTTGGTGTTTGTTGATCAACAAGACCAAATTGGACTAATATGTTTGCGAGTGTCAATTTTGTAGTCCAATAGGTTGCAAACGCGACTTGGACGAATGCGACGTGATGATCCGATGATCAACACCTCAAGCAAGACCCTAGAAGCACAATAGAAGACCCAAGAAACTAAACAAAGTCCAAGCACAAAGATAGGAACCAAGCCGGACGCAAGATCGCGAAGAAACGAGCTCGGCAGAGGTGACCGGACGCGACCCTTATGAGGACTGGATGCGTCCGATCAGCTGCTCGGCAATAGCAGGCGTCAACAGTAGCGATCGGACGCTGAGTGAGGCAATGACCGGACACACGGACTTCACTGTTCATCATCGCGGCAACAACTCAGTGAGGACCGGACGCAGTAGCTGTGGACGACCAGACGCGCCAGGCAGTGGCATCCGATCAAGTCCAGAGAGGTTCCAGAGCGGTGAAACGTCGACCGGATGTGTCAGATGGTAAGCAACCGGACTCGCTAGAGAGTCTGATCAACAGTGAGCGCCAATGGTTGGCTTCAACAATCAGGACCACCGGACGCGTCCGATCAGGGCGACCTACGTGTCCGGTCAATGGCAGAAAGCTAGGTTTCGTCCCCAACAGCTACTTTTTCCATAGGACTTATAAATAGACCCCCCAACCGGCCAATTGTGGAGGGGAGAGCTGAGGAAACATACCAAGGGTGTTGATACACCATTTTAGTGATCTTTACTTGCATAGTCCTTAGTGATTCATTAGGTGATTAGCATAGGTGCTTTACGAAGTGCTTAGGTTGATAAGACCACCGCTTATGCAATTGCTCTAGGTTTAGGCCTAGTGTTTAGTGAGGTTTGCACACCTCTTATTACTCGGTGCTTGCGCGGACCATTATTGTACATCGGAGGGGCTTGTAGTCTTGCGAGATCACACCAACCGCGTTTGTGGAGTGGCTGCCACTATGTATCGAAGGGAACAAGGCCCGCGGCGGTTCGGCCAGAAGCTTGATAGTGAAGACGGCGGGGAGCGTTCCGAGAGAAGCTTACCGGAAGGCACACCGGAGACCCACTTGCGCGTGGGGAAGGACCGGGGCTATCCATGGAGTTACCTGACTAGGAGCTTGGCCCTTTCGAGGAATTCCTTGCGAGGGGCTCCAACGAAGAATAGGGGGAAGCTTGAGCGCTTCTCGATACCTCGGTAAAAATGCCGGAGTCATCGACGGGAGTTTGCATCTCTACCTCATCTTTACCTTCCGCATTCGCATTGCTACCTTGGTTGATTGCTTTACTTTCCTAGCTTAGTTGATAGACTAGTTGATAGGATTGGAACCTAGGTTGCATAACTCTTTTGCCATAGAGATAGCAACACACCTAGTAAAATCGTAGTTGCACATCTAGATAGATTACTTTCTTGCATAGGTTTTGACTAGGTGAAATTAGAGGCCATAGTTTAGAGTAGATTTTTAAGTTGCCTAATTCACCCCCCTCTTAGGTGTCATGGTCCCTTACAGTTACCCCCTTTGAAGCATTCCACCCAACACCTGTACTGTGTCACCTTCGTGCTCCTCTGGCGCCGCTACTCTCCACGCTGGCCACATCATCTGGCCCATCGTGCCGCTCCTCCTCCACTCCGCCAGCACGAGCAGGAACAACGCCGGTACAGCACCCCTGCCACAAGCAGGAGCACGAAGACGCACTGGAACGAAACCGCCCGCCCGACTGCGCCGAGGACTCGCCCTCCACATGGGCCTCCGACTTGGACATGGACCTCCACTTGGACATGGGCCTTCGCCGCTAGCGATCTCGAGGCCTCCCATGCCGCTGCCGAGCTCCACATCGACGGGCTTCGCCATTCCAAGCGCATCTGATTTGCCCACTCACCCCATAGTTCCCCATGTCCTCCTCACCATTCCCCGCATGCGCTCTTGTCTCGACGAAGGATGGCGCGTAGAGAAGGACGACGCATGGAGGAGAAGGGTGGTAGCGGCCGCCATCTGGCGAGCTCCGGGCGGGCGGGCGTATAGAGCAGGGGCAGGGCATTGAGACCAGGCGGACGTCGCGGTCATCCTCCGGCGAGCTCAGGACAGGCGTTAGGACCGGGCGGCGGCGACGGCGGCGGGGCTAGGGTTTCACCGAGCAGTGAAAGGAACGCGTGCACAAGCCTAGCCAGGGGGAACGACTGTCCCCTCATTTCCGCTTAGCCTGCCTTAGATGTGGTCGGTGCATAGCTGGAGCCTGGCTTGGACGCCTGTTCAGCCAACCAAACAGGTCCAAGTTGGCTCTGTGAAGCCTGGCCAAGGAGAGAGCTAGGGAACCAAACAACCCCTAATATACGGTGCAATTTCGCATCTGTATCTACTCCCATAGGTTATCCACGGGTTTCCGGCAGCCGTCGAGTGTGCTAATCTTATGAGTAAATATCATTATGATTGTATTAATAATAATTATTATAGAAAGTTGAAAGCAAGTGAAGTTTATCATCTATATATCACACATTTATTCATCTACAACATAGGTGCCACGTTTTTTAAGTGGACTAAAACTTTTAGTACTTAGGCGACAAACATGTTAGCAATTGGACATGAATACTTAATTATATGGGATATTTCTTATATTTCGAGCCCCAATGTGGATCCTGCAGGTGCGATTTAGCACCCGCACCCAGGCCCTGACCCGATGAGCCCTGCGGGTGCGATTTGGCACCCGCGCCCGCACCCTAGCGGGTGTGACGCCCGTGGACACCCACACTCGCTGGTTCAATTGCCATCCCTACCGTGGACGATGTCCATCGAATAAAAGCGATTTACGAACAAATGCAACCCTTGTCGGCGATATTGGTGTTTACAAGATGTGTATTTATGGATGGACGACTAGATATAGTCCTATAGGTTGTATAACTAGCAAAACATATGAATTACAAAAAGGGCATTTAGATACAACATATAAAAAACGTAGGATTATGAATTAAAAACGGTCTTTAGATGCAACATAGGAAAAATGTACGAACTCTAATAAGAGAGATAAATGCATTGTGCTGTTTTCCCACCAAAATTCTGACCTCGTTGGTTCCGCACTTCTCTGATGTGATGCTTTGTCGTAGCTGAGAATTGAGGTGCTGGTGGAGTGGTGGCCTGTTGACGCGCCTGCTAGTCCGGTAAGGTAGTGTGACGTAGTGTGGTGTTGGTGTTGGAGTGCACGAATGGTATTTGCCGATTTTCCTGTTCAAGAATCGATATGAAACTGAGGTACATGTACCAGTTCATGTGTTGTTTAGGCTAGTTTCGAGTTGTTTGGAGCGTCGAATCTCCTCGTTCAGCGC